ATATACATATACATATATATATACATACATACGTTTATACACACACACACACACACACACACACACACACACAGGATATATATATCCGGTTGAAATAATATTATGAGTGAGGAGCGGAGGACCGAGGATGCCAGGACGGAGTCATCAGAGTAGTGTAAAAAAAGTATTTCAATCAGCTCAGGCACCGAAAGGAAGCACCGAAATCTGCGTTGCGTTTCGGTAGACACCGGTCGTATAGGAACCAGAGCTATATTAGCACCGGGTTTCGGTACCCAACCCCAATTAGAAGACAGGTCTGTGCAATCCCTTATTCCCTGATTGAGAACTATAATAGATGACATAAGATATAACAATGTTGACCGCGCTCTTTTGCAGTGCACTGATAAAAATTTAGCCTCAGCGATAAAGACAAATGGGACGTACCAATAGTAACACATTTAAACTGGAATGATAATTAAATAATCAAAGCCCCTGAAAACTTGGCTTTCTCTACAACATGAAATATTCGTGATTAAATAAGCAACAATTAAAAGGTGCAATGTGCCTGGCCACATGCTCCAAACAAATAGGGGGCAGGATTTCACATATTCTCAACTAACAGCAGCCAAATGAAGCTCTAGCATAAGTTCAGTCAGGTATTCTCTCTCTCTCTCTCTCTCTATATATATATACACACTATCAGCTGTTTAACAGCTGGATGCTCCCAACCGTCACTCCCTCATCGTTAGCCTATCAGCTTGCTGCTGTCTCTTTTTAAATGTGCTGTATCCCTGCCTCTAGTTGTCCAGCTGCAGTTTCGTGCGACCCTCCTCCTCCCCAGCACCATCCGTCTTCGCAGATTCAGCACTCCATCAGCATCTTCAGCCAACTCCAGCAGAACCTTCAGCCACCACCACCAGTGTCTGGACTCCTCAGGGGGATTTATATTGTTGCCGCTAAGGGCAATCGCCACTCAATCACAAATCTCCCCGTCGACTTCAAGCACCAAAGAATTTATGTGCAACTCATTGGCGCATCATCTGTCATCATAAACGGTAACTACTAATTATTCACTTGTCTCTCCTGATTAAACTACTAACCAGGCGGCAATCTCCGATTCTGAAAAGTGAAGCCAATGCTGAAGTGTCTTAAAACGTGCATTATCGCTACTGACCAGCGGGGGGCAACTTCCGTTCACTGGTTGCAAAAAAAAAACAGATGGTGACGGACAAAATCCAAGATGTCAATGGCCAAAAGGCCGAATTCGAGGCATCCCAACCGTAGTCCACAAACCAATGGGTCATGTCACGACGACTACGTCCACTTCTTATTTACTGTTATTTACTACTAACTAACAGCAATGCAAGAATACGCATTATAAAAAAATATTATAAAAAATAATCATCAAAACCACATATTGACGCCATTTGGTATGGGTTTTTTTCCAGTATGGTTTGTGTCATTAGTTTCACTAAAGATAGGTTTAGTTAAACAGCCAACATTAGATGTTTCTTACCAGTCTAAAAGAAATGATTTCAGCATCAAATCTCATCTCTTTATTCGCCAAGGGCTGTCTCCAACGGTGGAAGGCCACACCAACGTTTACTATCGTTTTGCTTCTTTTTACTGCACTTGTTTTCTTTGCCACTGACTGTGGTTTCTTGTCGGGAGAGAGTGGTTGGGATGGTGATAAAGGTCGCTTGCCAAGAACATGTTGGAGTGAGGGCAGAACATCAACCTCCAGTGATGAGAAATGAAGCCAACTCGGAAGTGCCAAAAACTGAAGTTCCTCAAATAGCCACTTGAGGCCATCTTAAAGCAATCCCTTAGACCCCCCCCATGTTAAAATGCCCAAATTTACAGCAAAAATGAACATGTTTACAGACACAAAAACAGTTTAGGTCTATTTAGCTAATGTACCCGTTCATGGCAACTGTACTGCGTTGAATTGTTACATAACTTGCCTGTTTAAATTATATTAAGGCATCATTTTAGGCATAATTAAGGGCGTGGCAGACGATCCACCTCTTTACCCATTTTTGGTTTAGCCAGGATTGTCGTCACTGACAAGATGGAGACGCCCACTTTGAGCTTCACAAAGAGCAAAGATCAAAGTAAAAACCCTCAGACAGTCTGGACCCTGTTTGAGGCCCCTGGCCTCAGTTTGAACAACACTTTTGTGTTTCACAGTTTTTATCTTTGTGAACTGAGGAATGTTTTCAGTCTGACGCTCCTCAAAAAAAACCTATGGGTGACGTCACGGAGACTACATTCATATTTGATACAGTGTATGGGGCAGCCTGGACACTACAGTGACTCACTATCGCCTATTGACGTACGAGTGGTATGACAAGACAGGACGGGCCTTTTAAACTAAAAGTTCTGGCCACATCTTTAACATTGCACCTAGTTGGGCAGAAAATAGTGTGTTCATGTATGACCCATCACTTATAGTAAAAAGTTGATGGAGAAAATAAGTTGGCAGGGCCTTAAGTCATATTCTTGATTCAAATGTCAGTTATGTAACCTGCCCACACAGTGACCCTGGTGGTCCCATATTGACTGTCCTACCGCCCAGCAGATGGTCCTCCATCAACTTGTGTTTTGTTTTCCTCTGACCTATATTAAATGCCATCTGTTTATTTTAGCGGTCTGTTTGATTTGGCTCTCTCTCCCAGAGAAGTCTTCTTCTTCTACCCATTCAAAAGTTAATCATCAACAACCGATGTCAAAGCACAGAAGAATTTCCACATTCCCCAAAATAAAGCACCTCCCTCACAGGAAACAGAAACTTCCTCCCATATCTGAATACACTTTTTGAATGAATAGGGGGCCATTAGTCTGACAGCTGATGTAGTTCTCTGTGATCATGCCCTCTCTGGATATTTGATTGCATCTGAATCTAAACTGCTATACTGGTCAGTGTTCCCACATCAGCGCTGTTGCCCGGCTCCGAAATAATCGGCAGCTGGCCTTGGAGCGATGCAGCAGGTGCACTGCCAACATGCTTATCTGCTCTGTTGTGTGTGTCAATAAACCTGTACGGGGGGTAGATCAGAGTTCAGTCCGCTCGCATCCATCTGAACTGAGACGAACTAGTGTGACATTTATCTGTCTGCAAGTGAAATTGTGTCAAAGAACAGTGATAAGGACTTGAATAAATACAATTTGTTACGTTACAACCACTGACCGTCATCTTGGCGATATGTGCTGAAATTTAGATGGAAATAATGCAGAGGAAATGTATATTATCCTAAATTTATCAAGACACCGGATATTAGAAGTGTTCACAATGGGTATTAGAAATAAATGTCAATAAATGTCACTTACATAAGTTTGTTTCAATTAAAAGGCGTGATTCTCTCTGCCGTAGTTGAGAATTTATATCTAAAGTATATCCGACATGTACCGTGTTGCTATGATGTGTGAAGTATCCCTGCAGGGATTAATACAGTGACGTCCTATATAATCCTAGGATTTACTTTGACCAGACAGCATTGTTGGAGAACATTATCCTAAGACACTGGGTCCGCCTTCCTTTAGCCTCAATGCTTGCTGCTGGATTTAGAGGGAAGGGAAGTTGCTGCTGAGTTCGAGGTCAGGAAGCTGGAGCGGCAACAATAGCTAACTGGTCGATGAACTCACCTTCATCACATGACAGGGAGCTGTGACTCAGCCACATAACGCGAGGGTCAGGGGTTGTGGTGACGCGGCGTAGGGTGAAAGATTTTCTAGGTCACTGGGGATGAGGCTTTACAGTGCTTCAGGCTGCCAGCAGCGACTCTCTGAACATACCGTGTTAATGTTGCTGCTGATTCTTTTATAAACCTTCTCTGCTCATTTTTCGCATCTACCGTCTTGTGTTCCAAATAGAATTTCTTTAGTTGAACTGAAGCCAAATGCCAGGTGAGCTTAATTTTCCAAAAGAAATGTATTTTAAAAAGGGAGACACTACGGTAAAATAATTTAACTAATAGATGTCACCAAGAAAAAAACTTCCCCACTTGATTTCTTACATTAATTTACAGCAATCATTTTTTGTATTACAAATTTTCTGAAAATATTTAAACAAGCAAACAAGACATTTTCTTATTAAATAAGTGCTAACTTGCATTAATTTCCAGACCAAATCTGAACATTTGACAAGGTTCAAAATTTCATTTTGTCGACATATTAGACTCCAATATGTCGACTTTAATAATACTCTAATAATTAGAGTCAAAGTGTTTACAGAGTGAATTTTAGATATCTCTTTGTATCACTCCATAAAGCAGAAAAAAAACATTTTTCTCTATTTCTTTAGTAATAAAATGTTATCTATATCAGGCCATAAATGATATATGAACAAACCCCTCTGTAAAAACCTTCAGAACATAGAGGAATGAAAGTGTAAAGTTTGGTGTATGTAAGAGCTACTGAAGTGGAGATTTCTGAGAAAATAACTAATTTAGAGAAAACGGCCTTAAAAGAGATGTTTTGTAAAATTCACTACAGGTGAATGAATAGGGTAAAAATGTCATCACGATGAAATTTCCCCAGTTGATTACTTACATTAAGACAATTGTTTTTTGTATTGTAAGTTTTCTGAAATGTCATGTTTAAATATGTAAATGAGGCTAATGGTAACTTGAACTAAATGTGAATTTAGGAGAAATCTAAAGACGCAAATAGACAAAGTAGTAAAATAAATGTTTCCTTTCCACCAGTCTGAAATAAGACGTGTTATGGAAGAAAAATTCACCAGTAAATGAAAACCACTGCCTGTAGTGTCTCACCCGAATCAGGTTGCTTTAAAGTATAAACTGAATGAAATCAGTGACTGTAGCAACTCAGTTCTTACAGCCGTGCTCTGCCAGGAAACAATAAGTGGAAACAGGTGTTAAATGGATTCTGAACACAACTGGTGCCTCAGGAGTTCAGAAGACTGTGTGAGAGCAGAGGAAAAAACCCATCCTGACACAGTTGAACACGAGTAAAGAGCAGAAGCAAAATTATGTTTTCACACATCAGGGGAGTTGGTGAGAGGATGGACACAGTGCAGCACTCCGGGCAGAGGAGCACATCACCAGTTACTTACTTGAAAGAGATTTTCTTTGTTTGACTGTCGGGAATCCCCTTTATTACAGGACATCTATCAACAAAAGAAAAAGGAAAGAACTATCCGTGAATACATGTGAAGCTGTCCATGAGCAGTCAACTGTCCATGAGCGGTCAACATCCAAACCTAGTTATCTCCTCGGAGATAACTTCTGTATGGTCCTGTATTCTACAGCTCAATACTAAACCTGCTCTTGGTTGTGACATTTTACTGTGGATAGACCCTTTTACACAATACAGACGAATGTAGGTGTGCGCACACAGTTTGGCAACGGAAGTACGGCGAGTGCAATAGCTTGTCAAGCTTTTAAGAACATTAACCAGCAAAAATGGAGAATGTAACCTAAACACATGGACTTTCCAGATACGTGTTCAATTAGTGAGTGGGTAGAATACATTAAATAGTGGCCCAATATTTAATATCCCAATATAAACATGCATTTGGTAAAGAAACCTAGCATGTAACTTTACACCAACGAGTCATTGCGAGCTGCAAGTTGAGACATTGCGAGCTGCAAGTCGAGACATTGCGAGCTGCAAGTCGGGTCATTACGAGCTGCAAGTCGGGTCATTACGAGCTGCAAGTCGGGTCATTACAAGCTACAATGTCAAACATCATGACAAAGACTCAGAGGTTTGACTTTATTCAGTTTAAAAATGGGTGATAAAAACAGTCCAGTGGTCGTCAATATGTTTAATAGCTAGCAGCCATAGATGCCAGTGTTTTGGTTTAACCTGTGACCGTGTTAATTGGTGACTTACCCGAATGCGTCGTAGCAACGCCGGCTGTTGAAAACACCAACAGAACATGACAGTGTCCTTTATCAATTTTTAAAATCTGTGTTTTTTTATCTACTACGAGCAACCAAAGATGCATTCTGTTGAAAGTCACCAGTTAACACAGCCACTCGTTAATCTGAAACACCCGTTGCTCTGAAACGGTCGCAATCCTAACGGAATTCTGTAGAACTTGAGTCGATTCTTACAACCGAACATACACCAACCAGACCTTCTGGTGCTGGTGACAGTTTCAATTCAATGTTTAAAGCTCACTAACTCGTCTGGATGGCTGGGGAAGAATGCCACTTCTGTTGCCAGCATGTAAACGCACATTTTTGTTTGCAACAGCTGTAAAAGGGTCTATTATAACCGGGGGTAAAAATATATCTATTTATCTATAATTACAATCATCCAACATGCTATTCACATATCTTCATTGCTGAGAAACGTCGCTTCCAGTGCAATTAGGCTTTGTTTAATCATTAGTAGCGGTGTACTCTGATGGTGACATAAAGCTCCTGAATCATATTAGCTTTTTTGATTAAACAGGACTAATTCCTGAGACGTGCTACTGTCCTGATGGAGACGGCTACAGTTACCTTGGTGAAGGACACAGCACTATAGCTCTCTCTCAGACATCCCTGGCAATAAAAGCTGCCGTTGGCTTTTATTACATGGTCTTTAGTTAATACCTAATGCAGGATTCATTGGGCAAATTTTAAGGCTGAGGGAGCAGCAGGACAGGACCATATCGCGGCGTCTTTTGTTTCGTCTTTATTTTTTTAATGTATCGCGGCAGGATGAAGCCAACAGCGTGCAGAAGATTAGTATGTGCCGTTTTGCTCGGAAGCCCATGATCCCCTGTCGCTCAATATGAAATCAGTGCGCCGCGGCAGGTGAGGCTGACTCAAGCGGCTTATCTTTGTAGTTCTGATACCCGGATCATGAACTCTGGACAGTCCAGCCACATCACCTGTACCTCTCTGTGTTAACACCACCGAGCTGAGAAGAGATACATTATCTAGCCGCTTTTGTGAAACTGCGCACACACTTGAATTTTCTCGGCAAAAAATGTGCCGAGTCACCCTTAAAAAACATTCAGCTGACTTCTTGATAAATGGGAGTTACGAGTTATTTTTAAAGAAGAAAGGAGACAGACAAGAGAGGGGTTTTCGGCGCTCGGGTTGCTCCCTGCATACTGTGTCTTCCCAGCCGGGTGTTGTGCTGCATGAGTCAGTGTGTGTTACGTCTTTGTATTAGGCTGAGATTTCAGGGATCTCATACTGTACCGTGTTTTTTGGTGGGTTCACCTGGGAACAAGAGTACCCAGGAGGGCACGCTCCTTTGGGAAGCCTACGGCAAAGAACACATGCATGTACAGCCATGGGGGTACATCATCATGTACAACAATGGCTAACACGCGCACACACTTACACACATAAGCATATCAGCTGCAGACACCCACACACTCACACACAACAAGGTCTGGGGGAGACACATCACACAGTTGTATGTTTTATCTTGTTTGTTTCTGTGACTATCAGCTCTTATTGACCGTTGACCCCAGTTACTTGAGTCCTCTCTGTGATAAAAGTCAAACATTTCTACAGGAAGTTTAAAAAAAAATACCGGAGTGTGCAGTTCTTACTTTTCTGCTGCTGTATGTGTGTGTGCCGTGTGGACTGTTTCAATGCAATTGCATTGCTCGGCAAATAGCCCGTGTCCATGTTTACTTCCTGACGGCCTATGTCATTCACATACACCGCGGCAGGAAATGAACTGGGACACATTTTTACAACTGTGAAATGGTCTGTAGCAGCACTTAATTTCATTAAATAAAGCAGTTAAACTTTAACAATTAGACTAATATCTACAAACTACTGAGGGAAAGTAGTTTTTACGACACGGCAACACATCCTCGTGAAGAGTCTGGCTTACTTGTTGCTCTCTTTTTCTGCAGTAAAACAACAGTGTTTAAACAATTGATAAGAGATGTGGCTCCCACCTGCAAGATGGCCCCATAGAGGCGCAGCAGGACGCTCCTGGGCTCGTCCCCAACAGTGTCCAGGCTGTCGGGGAGGCTGCACAGGAAGAGCTTGTTGCTCAGACCACCCCTGGGGGACAGACAAGACGGTGGGACATTGTTACATGTAGATAGGGCTTCAAAAAGAAAACTCTCACTGCGTCTCTCTTTATCGTGCTTTCTGAGCTCATGATAGGCAACATAATAATAGAATAGGATGCATTATAGTCTTACATTACCTCATTCAACTAATGCCTGTAATCCCTTACATAAATAGTTGTCCTAGGTGTGAGGCCAGATGTCGTGCCACAATAGATCATTTCATAAGAATTAAAGCAGCAGTTTTTGGACAAGGTTGAAGAGATTTTGAATTAAAAACAAACCTATTTTGAAACAACTAAAATAGCAGCTTAAGTTTAAAAAATCATTAATAATAATAATTAAAAAATGCCACAGTTATTGGCCTCCCAATGTCCCAAAACACCATTTTAAAAGGGGAGGTTCGTATAAAATGAGATGTATGTATCAGATTCATATAGAAAACTAAAGGCCTACTATAGAAATAACATACGTCATCCTTATTTAGGGCGAGTTTGCCCTTCAACGGTTTACATCACGAGACTAGATGTATAACAGCAGCCTTATCACACTAGCTTCGACCAATCGGGGCCTACTTCCACCCCGCAAGCAAGTGAGCGTGGCTTACCTTATGATGGTGATATGGAACTCGTCCTTGGCCAGGCTTTTCCATGCTCCGTGGAGGAACTCTCTGCACCACAAATAAGCCTTGCGCTGGGTGTCCAGGTCGGGCTGGTCGAGGCGGTCCAGCTCCTTGCAGTCCTCCTCGGTGTCGGGCTGGACCTGCAGCGCGTTCTCGGTCACCAGGATACCCAGCGACATGGAGGGGGAGGAGGAAACCCCGTTGATAAATTTGGTTTTCATTTTGGTTCTTAAAAGAAGAAATGAAACGCAAATATTCTGAGTTGAACACCCCACTGAACGAGTAAACGGATGTGTAGCCTCTGGCTTGTGTCGCAGTCGAGTCGGCCACAAATTTTTTTTTGTCTCTGTGAATGAATTTCTTTTTTTCTTTCTTTTTTCGTTGGTAGAATGCGAACTGTCTCTCTGGCGTGGTTGAGAGGTTACGGGGACAGGATGTAGGAGTCACCGCTTACTGGAAAAGGTATGATTTAACTATGAAGGACGCGCCGCTTTACAAGGGATGTAGACTGGGCGGGGCGGCAGGGGTCACATGACACTTTCGATCCCCTCATTGGTCGGCTCGGACACAGACCCTCAGGACCAAAACAAACCCAACAGTGCCTCCAGGGGCTATCCAACAGACGATTACAGACGAATTCTAATGTTAGAACATATTAGTAGAGACATACAGTTTCAAAGCTAGTCCCAATTTCATTAGATTTAAACAATTTATCAAGACTCTCAAACTTATAAACACTAATAAAAGTGGTGAACTGTCAAAATGTATGGTGAACTCTTTAAAGACCAAGGTATTTTTTCTGACAATTTTATATATATATTAGTGCTGGGCAACGATTACAATTTTTAATCGCGATTAATCGCATGATTTTCTGCGATTAATTGTGATGCCTTATTTGTGCTTGACGCATCTGCGGGGGGTGCGAGTGTCCGCCAAAGCGACTTCACACCATAGACCACAGTGGTCGGCCGTCAGGGCCAGCAAGGCCTTCTCTGCTGGCCTAAACAGAATCACAAAGTTATAGCTATTTTATAATTTAATAATTGTTCTTAAAACTAAAGGCCTACTATAGAAATAACATACGTCATCCTTATTTAGGGCGAGTTTGCCCTTCAACGGTTTACATCACGAGACTAGATGTATAACAGCAGCCTTATCACACTAGCTTCGACCAATCGGGGCCTACTTCCACCCCGCAAGCAAGTGAGCGTGGCTTACCTTATGATGGTGATATGGAACTCGTCCTTGGCCAGGCTTTTCCATGCTCCGTGGAGGAACTCTCTGCACCACAAATAAGCCTTGCGCTGGGTATCCAGGTCGGGCTGGTCGAGGCGGTCCAGCTCCTTGCAGTCCTCCTCGGTGTCGGGCTGGACCTGCAGCGCATTCTCGGTCACCATGATACCCAGCGACATGGAGGGGGAGGAGGAAACCTCGTTGATAAATTTGGTTTTCATTTTGGTTCTTAAAAGAAGAAATGAAACGCAAATATTCTGAGTTGAACACCAGACCTGTATAGGAGACGCTCTGCGTCATCAAGAGGATGCTACTTGAAGTCAGTCAACCTTATCACCGAGCCCACTACTTTCATCTTTCTTTCTTTTTTTGCATACTTAGAATGCCATCTACTGGTGATAAATAAATCACAATTGAAAAAAAACACGCTTCAAAAACATGTAATTTGCATATAGAAAATAACAACGGTAAATAATTTGAATTCTAATGCTTGAGTTGTGACCTCTGCCGCACAATAACACACTATATTATATGTACAAATGTATTTCAAAATCTGATTAATTTGCCAAGTTCGTGTGCCCATACAAGGAATTTGACTCATTCTCTCTTGTTGTACTTAGACAGAAAACTGGACAACAAAACTGAAAAAATAAAGGTAAAGAATTGTCACGACTGACATAAAATAGTATTTACATTAATATTAATATGATAAAATATATTTTCAAAAAGCACCAATGACCAACAATGAAATAAGAAATAAAACGTCAATATATACAAGTCAACTGTTCTTATGATAAAAATAGTGTAAATAAACAAACAATACTGTGTGGATGTACGTGGACTGGAGGAGTATGTACAGTAGTACACGTAAAGATGTCTATATACTGTATATACAGCGTGTAGGATGTATATTAACAATGACGGATGATATGTTGATTGATGATGATTATAATCTATATCGGCAGCAGTGAATATGCTGTTGTTAAACGGTTCATGTAAGTGTTCATCAGAGTGACGGCCATATTGTAATGTGTAATGTATGTAGGTTGTACGTTGTTGTATGTAAATGGAGCCTATCTATGTTCTGGAGGCACACTGTGAAAACCAATTCTCCCTTTGGAGATATATATCTTATATCAAACGGAAAAGTCGCAACATTGTGTTATGAGCCACCGACAGAGGGCGCTCACACCCTCTTAAATCCGATTGAGCTCTTCAAACAACTCGTACAAACACTGTCTTCGTTTCTTTGGGATTTATGTTTTAATGGATTCGCAAAAATATTACTATTGGCATCGAATCAAGAACAATTGTTATTCTCAACACTTTCAAACATTACCTCCGCCCGCCTCCGAAGGCGCAACGCCGTGGTACAAAACGGGCAGCCCGACGCACGTTGATGACGCCATCACAGCGAGCCACAACAAAAACAACAACAGATCTAAACTGTTCGACATACTGAATACTGTTCTTTTCTTGCTTTTTAAACTTCTGGATTTCTATAAGTTGCTTTACAGTTCCTTATACATTCGGATACAACGCAATTTCGAAAAAATGCAACAACTCTGTGTTTTCAGGTTAAATGTTATACTCCTTTGTCTCCTGTCTGCTAACGTTAGCTTCTAGCAGGTTAGCTTTTTTAAACTGGGGACGGGAGGGAGCCGCTTGGCCAGAAGGTAAAGAAAATGCAACACAATTTTAATGTTTCTAATAGAGGTATTAAATCATGGCTACCCCTGTAAACACACTTGTGCTTTGTGGATGTATTTATTTCTTTTTTTCTTTTTTCGATTTTAACTTTTTTTTGTAAAAGCCTCCTGTGGACAGGTGTTGTAAATTAGCGTTTCGCTACAAACACTTAACGCAGTGCATCTAGTCCCTGTGCATAAATGTATGTTACAATTCTAATGCAACTGTGATGTCCATATTAAATCAAATAAACAACAAACAACAACAACACGACTTCTGTCTCGATAACGGTGCTAAACAGTCCCATAACGCCACTGTAAGTCTAAGAAAGGTCCCGTTATTCAGGAGAGAAGCCAAAAGGTAACTGTCAGCAAAAGCAGAAGAGATAACCTGACTCATGTTACAAACCGAGGAGTCACTTCACTAAAGTGCCATTTTATACAGAGTTTCAACGGGGAAACTGTCGAAGTACTAACTTTACACCAATTGGTTGTCGAAACTGGCTCGTTGGTGAACTTTGCAAATATCAAGTTGTTATTATTATTTAGTTACAACTAAAACTTTCACCCAACCGTGTTTGCACACATTACTTTAAAGGTGATACATCACATGATATGGTATAATTACATATACAACGTTACCAGTTCAAACTGAACCGCATTCTATTGCACACAGACCACCTAATGAACCAGATATGTATTAGTTATTTCCCACAAGAGAATCAACATCTTACATTATTTTCTTGTCTGTTTCCTTTCTTTATCTCTATAGAATTCCCAAGGCCAGAGATATCTATGGCAAAGCCAGACCGCAAGACCACCCGGTGGAGATTCTGACCTCCACCAATGACCACCAATATCATTTCATCATCTCTCATCATGTCGCCGCAGAAGAGACCCCTGGTCCCCGTGAGCAGCCGGCGGAAAGCAGCGGACAACCACTTCCCTTTCAACTTCCTGCCGGTGGAGTGCCAGCTGCACGTACTGTCCTTCCTGAACGAGGTGGACAAATGCAGCTGTGCCCTGGTTTGCTTGAGCTGGAGCCGCCTCGTCCGCTCGTGGAAGCTGTGGCGGGTGGCGGACTACTCCCGCCGCGGCGTCTTCCACCTGGGCCAGGAGGGGCTGCTGGTTTCCAACCGCGAGTTCGAGAGGTGGAAGGCCTGGGTCCACCATTACACCCATCACCTCATCTCGCGGCGGGCCAGCCTGCTCACGCTGAAGGCCAGCTTTGACCTCGGGGATCGCTGCAACAAGTGGTGCGAGCTACTGAGTCGCCTGCTGGAGAACGTCCACTGCAGAGACCTCAGCCACCTGAACCTGAACTGGACGTTTACTCTGCTGGAGCCGCTGGACCTCAGGGTCCACTCCAGCTCCAGTTCGCACCAGGACAGCATTACAAAGATGGACCAGGTAACTAGTTTTTACGGATGTTCACATGTCCTGATTGCAAAAAGTGATAAATGGCATTGAGGGCTGCACGGTGGTGTAGTGGCTAGCACTGTCACCTCACAGCAAGAGGGTCCCGGGTTTGATCCCCGATCCCGGGTGGTCCTTCTGTGTGGAGTTTGGAGTTCTCCCCGTGGCAGCGTGCGTTCCCTCTGGGTTCTCCGGCATCCTCCCACAGTCCAAAGACATGCAGCTTAGGTTATTTGGAGACTCGAAATTGCCTGTAGGTGTGAATGTGAGCGTGAATGTTTGTCTGTCTCTACATGTGCCCTGCGATAAACTGGCAACCTGTCCAGGGTGTACCCTGCCTTCGCCCTTGTCAGCTGGGATCGGCTCCAGTGCCCCTGAATAGGATAAGCGGTTTGGATAATGGAATGATATAAATGGCATTGCTTGATGCACAAATATGTTGTCATTTTCTTCTGTAATGACAAAATGATGAGGCCTGATACAAATAATGAGAATTTGCACATTTATTCCTCTTCATTGCAGCCCCTCTTTGTATTTTTATCTGATCCTCCTACTTTCAATATACTGCATATACACAGAGGGTGGACATAATAAAAGCAATGTAATGTTATGTAATGCTGAAACTAAATTGTTCATCAACAAAAAATGATTAATAGCAAATGTTGTTATCCAGTTAATCATTTAGAGGCAAAAATGCAAAATATTCCAGCTACTCAAAAGTGAGGTGTGTGTGTGCGCGCACGCGTGTTAGGTAGTAATATGGGATATATTTCAATCTACACATAAATATACAAATACTGTACATGTACACAATATCCCTATACATTGTATATATTTGTATATATATATACGTATATATATACATACACATATGCATTAGAAAAAAATGTAAAATCAAAAAACACGAAAAATGACATCCGATTGTAAGAAAAGCATAATAATAATTCAAGTAGAAGTAATTATGAATTTATATGCCAAATATGCCAGCACCACAACAAGCCACCACACAGGAGGACAAGGGGTTGGGTGGGGAGTTGTGTGAGGAGATTGATTGGGTTTGTCATGTGTGTGTACGCGTGCGGTTGTGCAATGACTGTAGAAAAATAAATAAATAAAAGTAATTGTAAACATACATAAATAACACAAAAAAGATAATAAGAGAAATAAACAGCAATAATGGTAATGAATTATGATAATGATAATGGCATGACAATAATAATTATTATTATTATAAGTAATAGTGATAAAAAGTAGTAATAATATCATCAGTAGCGAAGAGAAAGTAAGCACCATGAAAAAAAGAAAGATCGAATTAAAAAACATATTAATAAATTGATAAAAAAAATAAGAAAATAATAACAATCAAAAAAATATATTCACAAGCAGTTTGGAGGGAGAGTGAAAAGATAAATAGCTTTAATAATAATGATATCAATAATAATAACAATTATGATAATAGTAATAATAATTATAATGTTAATAACAATAAGTAACATGATACATAATAATAATAATAAACAAAACATTAATAATAGTATCAATAAAGAGACAGGAGATGGTGATAGATTAGAGGGAGGGGGGTTTGATTGTATGTTTGTGAATGTCATATACGGAATATTTAGGGATCATGGTACATGTTGTGATAGCAGATATGATGGTGTGCATCTTTATTGTGGATGGTTGATGAGTGAAATTTGTGTGGAATTTAAGAGTTAAGGGTATTGACAGATGGATTCCAAATGAAGTCAGCGGTTTGTTGTTTTAATGAGGCAGATCATTCTTTCATTGATAACTGTTTTGATTTGTAGTGCTGATGTTGTGTCTTGATTTCCAGTTCATGAGGATGGTTTTCTTGGCGATGATTAGAGCTATGGAGAGTATTCTACTGGATGGGTTGTTTAGGTTAATGTTGAATGTGTCTCCAAGTAAGCAGAGGGTAGGGGAGAGTGGAATGTGACAGCCCAAATGGAGAGAGAGGTTGTCGGTGATGTTCTGCCAGAGTTGTGTAATTGGTGTGCAGTCCCATGTGGCATGCATGTAGGTAGGTGTCTGTGGTGTTTTGAGGGCAGGGCGGACACATTTCAGAGTATGTGAATCCCATTTTAAACATTCTTTTCCCTGAGTAGTGTACTCTATGGACAATTTAGTATGGAATGAGTTGCATGTTTGTGTTTGTTAATGTGGAGAAGATGTTTTTACAGATTTGAGTCCAAAAGTCGGCACTGTGGACGATTTGTAGGTCTTGTTCCCATTTTTATGAAGGAAGGGATATTGTTCGGTTGGATGCAGAGATTATTTTATAGATTTTGGATAGTCATTTTTTCCTTGTAGTGATGTTAAACAGTTGTAAACTACAGCCATCGTTACTGTCATTAGTTTCACCAGTGATTTTCTGCTATGGGTCCAAATGCGTGTGCAAACGAAGGCTATGGATGTGATTCACAGTGCCGTGATGCTAGCAAGGCTATCAAGACTTCTTCAGACCGTAAAATGAAATTTAGCTCCAACATGGACAGATTATTGGGGGAAAACGCTGTTTCTCATCAAGCAACTTTTTTTATTTGTGCAAACTTTAAACTATAGAGAAATATGTAAGAAAAAAGCATGCTAGTATTGCTACTGGTAGATTAAAAAAAAGAAAATAATAATAATTTCATGTCAGGAGTGACTTTTTTTGTCTTCCAAAGCTGGGCTTGGGAGACAGAAATTGATAACCACTGTTGTAATGTGTCCTCTTCCATAGCAACATGTCTCTGATTACACAGACAATGGTTCACCGCTTTGATTTGATTTTACAGGTGACCAGTTTTCAGGAGCTGCTGACCAAACTCACCCACAGCTGCCCGCGCGTCTCCAAGATGCGGTTGCACTTCGACTGGTCGGACGAGTCTGTGTCGCTGCTCACCCAGTTCCAGCAGCTCCGCGTCCTTGAGCTCAAATACTTCTGGGTCTTTAAAGGGGTGACCCCCACAACACTGCAGACCCTCACCAAATCCCTACCCAACCTGAAGTCCCTGACTTTACAGATCCTGGTGCCGCTCAGGAACCTGGGCATCTCGTACACCCTGGAATCTCAATCCCTAGAGTTCCTGGACGTGTCGCCCAGCCGAGGCCTGGTCTTCTCCTGTCTGAGGCTCCCCGCCCTGCGCGAGCTCCGCGCCAAGAAGATCGTCCGTGGCATCACGCTGGACCGGAGGACCAGGCTGAGGATCCAGAGCCGGTGGCCTTGCCTGTACTGCGTCCTCCGGGAGGGGACGCCCAAGCTTCAGGCCCTCAACAATGAGCGGCTGCTTCCCACATGGAGAGAGGACGGCTACGGGGAGCTGTCTGCCATCCTGGAACAGTCCTGTTACTGCGTCCAGCATCTAGACAGCTGGCTGTGGTAGACGACTGAGACTTGAAATGAAGATCCTTCCATCGGTGGTCCTTAGCGATGTACTGCTTTTGCACACCAAAGTTTGTCCCCATTTAGATAAACTGAGCATGTTGTCAGGGGGACAAAAAAAGAGTCTTCAAGTGAAATCAAAGGACTGCAAGTTTTTTCTTTTCTTTTCTAATTCTTTAAGAGGAAGCTGCTGTTACACGTTCCCAAGAAGACATTGATGCACAGCGTGTCTGCAGCTGTTTCTTTTAGATTTTCTCCGCAAAGCAAAGGTGCTATATGCTGATTGCTCTGTGTTGCGCTGGCTTGGATACATTCCCACCAGAGCTCTTTACGCTGGTCTACCTGGAGTTATGGAGATTGCCTTTCAAACAGTGATGGAGCGCTGGGGGAAAAAAATTGTATGTGAAGTTTTATTTTCATTCCTGTTTTACTAGACTTGTTCCGATACCAATACCAGTATCGATAATGCCTCTGATCACCGATCTGATATCACGTTATCATATCATATCATTTATTTACGCAAAACAGAAACAATAAAAAACATGTGCCACTCGTATCTGATCTGATATACTGATCTGTATATCCTGCCTGATCGCACATAGGCAAACTAGGACTACACACCTGTTTGTAAACACTCGTGCACCCTGATGATGCTACATTGTGAACAACAAATCAGCAGAGTTACATTATGATTCAATTGAGTGAAAATTTGTATTAGTTGAAAGAAATGATAACTTTATGATGTGTTCAAATTCATTTTTGTAAAATGTCTTTGGTGAGAAACTTGAATAAATCCAGTTGTTTGAAGGAGATGTTTTCACAGCAATATAAAATAGATATTACAGAGGGAATTATCACCTTTTTTGTTTTTAACATACTGGTATCGGATCGGTATCGGTGGATACACAAGTTCAGGTATCAGAATCGATATTATGAAGGAATAAATGGTATCGGAACATATCTGCTTTTTACCACAAGCCTCCACTGATTGCTGCTGACAGCTGAAGGGAGTCAATGCTTCTGCAGTTCTCTTTTTTATTCAGCAGAGGTCCTTGTTGTCAAAGATTTGGCCTTACGAGGTCTTACAACAGAAACTTGTGTTCACAGAGCACTAGTGTAACATTCAATGGATTCTGATCATTTCAGGACTTGTGCTTGTGCGCCGTACGAGCTCGGGGCCGTCTATGCTCCTCAGAATGTATCGATGTATATGTGAAATTTAGTTGATAATGATGTATGTTTTTGAGTGTAGAACATTTCACATGATTCTTCATAAAGGACTGTATTCAATTTTAACTGTCATTCACAAGCTTGTGTGTGTGTGTGTGTGTGTGTGTGTGTGTGTGTGTGTGTGTGTGTAAACCGTCCCTGCTATGTGTGCAGGCATCAGCTTGAAGTTTTCACAGAGAAACATGAATCATTTTACAGATGACTGCTCCGATCTCCTTCTTTCTAAGAAAAAATCCCTCCTGATCAACACACGAGTGGAAGGCCATGGCATTTAGACAGATGTTTTAACATCTGGTCCTTACCATGTTTTTTTCCACAACAATAATAATAAGTAATACATTTCACTTCCAGGAGTCCAATAGAACATTGTTTTAAGTGAGCACCAGGGAATCATTTCTTTGCTTTGGTTACACTTTTTAAACTCTGTGATGAAATTAATGGAATTTTAGTCCGCATCAAACCATAAAGCTGTCATAAACATCATCACAGCCCTAAGAGGCGTTAATCGGAGCTAATGGAATGTGGCCTCGCTTAGTCGCTCCTCCATCTGGCTCCGGTCTCACTGCAATGATGAATAGCCTTCATCTTAGTGTTTCAATATGGTCGGCGCTGGTTTGATGTTCCTGACCCTGCAACAGAAACATCTGTTCTCAGTACAAACCACCACCGCGCCCATCTAAGGCTCTCTTTGACGTACACCGTTCCCTTTTTTGCCTATTTGTCTCCCCGTGTTTCCTCTACTGAGGGGAGGAATGTCTGTGTGTGTGGTGGTCATGGTGGTCGCGATTCCCAGAGGTTTGGGGCTTTCCAGCCAACTCAGTGATTTCCCAAATCACTCCGTTCCCCTCGTTTTCTCCTCTCTTATCCGGCCCTCTCAGCACTCTTCCCTTCACATGCATCTTGTTGTGTTGGGAGTTTGTCAATCGCACAGAATCTGCGTTGATATGTGTCTTTGGAAGCCATGGTCTGGCCCCCTGAGGTTTTTCCTGGTAATCGAACCTTGGACAACTTCCGTACGATCCAGAGGGATGACGCTGATGTTCTCCTTCTGAAGGATTTCCTCCACCAGCTGCTCTTTTTTCCATTGAAGCTAGGGATTCCGATGTGTACTACAGTCATAGAAAGGTAGTGGGAGAGAGGGAGTGTGTGTGTGCAGTGTGAGGATAAAGTGTTCCTTGAGGTCTACCTAACCCCTGCATTAGCGGCAAGACCACAGTAACCTCCTCCAGATGTTTGCGAGCAGCATCTGACTGATTATTTACAACGAAGCCAATGAACGTCGCCCTCTCCGCACTAAAACGCTCACTCTTTGCTCCCTCGGCAAAGCCCGAGTTAATGCTTAATCTGAGCATAGGCCCTTAATTGTTGAGACCAAGCCCGGTTTATGGGAGGGAGGTTACTTGGATGTGAACAAACCAGAGGCACACAAGCTCTTCAGACTCATCTCTCACCAGTCAAGCAACGAGACCTTCAGGACTGACCACCGGAAGGAGCCATCATGCCGAAAGAATCCGCCATATCCAAGGCTTTTGCTGCCACTTTTGTCATCCTGACCGTCGCTGTCATCACCGGCATTGTCACCATGATCATTTTTTACACGACTGAGATCGCAACAATGAACCCGACGCCCCGTCCGACGTTCCCGTCCACCACCACCAGCTTGCCACCCGTTATACGGCTGCCGAAGAACCTCATACCCCAAAGCTACAAGATCTTACTCCAGCCTCGCCTCTACACCCGAATCACCGAGGTGGTGAATGTCACCAGTCCCAACCAGACGATGGTCTTCACCGGAAACTCCACCGTCAGCTTTCATTGTGTCCAGGGCACTCGCGCCATCTACCTCAACAGCATGGACCTGGCAGTTTCTGATCCGGTGGTAATGAACAAAGACACAAATGAGAGGATCGGTGTTTCTTCAGTCAAGAACCACGAAGACGAAAGCAACTTCCTGGAGATCCAATTGAATGATGCGTTAGCGGCAGGGGGGAACTACAGTTTGTTTCTGGCTTTCAAGGGACAAATAATAAATCTTTATGGGATGTTTGTAAGCACATATGTCGAAGGTTCCCCAGCTTATGAAGGCGATAAAAGCACAGAGAGGTAAGCAAAAACAATTATATGTTTAAAGCTGTTAAGTTTCCGTGTGTAGACTCTGTCAAACTTTTGAGGATTTACTTTTTTTTTTGAGAAAAAAAAAAGAACAATCCAGCCAGAGTTTCCTCCAGGAATCCATTAGGCACCAAATTTGAAAACTCCCAAAATGTACTCTTGGTGACTTTAAGATGCACCACATTTATATGCTGAAGATATTCTATTAATTAATCCACTTGTTGCGCTCTCAAGCAATGCCGCCATCACAGCAGAGTCAAAGTGCAACGGGTTTCATTCAAACTGAAAGAACATATAATGCTGTTGCCCACAAAAACATATATTCTTTCAGTTTAAGTGAAAACAGCATTAATCACTCTTCTCTGACATCCATAGAAGTTCTGTGTTATTATTATAATTATTCAGCTTTAGTTTTTTAGACTTAATTCATTAGACTATGACTATGAGATCAAGAAATCTCTGGATCCAATCCATCATTTCATTTTTCTGCAGTGTTACTGCAAGTTACTTAAAGATGCAATCATTTACTCATTATTATTATTATTATTATTATTATCATTATCTCTGTCGGAAGAGTATGCATTCAGTTGTGTGTGTGTGCCTGTATGTGCATCTTCAGTTTAGACTTGTATGTATGTATCTATAACTATAGCTTAGAACAGTGTTTTTCAACCTATTCTCAGCCGCGGCACATTTTTTACATTAAAAAGATCCCGCGGCACACCAACAACCAAAAACGTTACAAAATGACACCATTTAGCATAATACAGCATATATGCCAGGGGTGTCAAACTCAATCTCAGGGAGGGACACAATTAAAAATTGGGACTACGTTGAGGGCCAAACAGAGTCACCATTTAATAAACAGGATAGAAGGGATATTGGACAAAGTGCAAAAAGAATACATGTTTAGGTATAGGCTACATTATTTTATGCATATGTGCTATAGCCAGATGTTTGGCATTTTTTCTTGGCTGCCATTAATTCTGCGTGGATGTATTCATTTGCTTTCACTGCCAACGATGCTGGCTTACCTGTATGCTTGATATGTGCAAAAAATTTAACGTTGAACGTCACTTCCAGAAGAAGCACACAGCATTTGCTGAAAAGTGTCACGCTGGAGATGAGTGAAAAAGAGCGATTACTCAACTGCTGCAGCAAACTGAGCAGGTTTTTTTGATATTGTTATAACAGGTAAAATTGCAATAATTGTCTTTATTCTTGTTCTATATTTTCATAAATACAACAAACTATAGTTTTTGTATATATAATATCACTATATATAAAACTTTATAAGCTGTGATATCAAATAGCTTTTGCGGCTCCAGACAAATTTTATTTGGTGGACAATAGGGCGAAATGGCTCTTTGGATAGTAAAGGTTGCCGACCCCTGGTTTAGGCTATCATCTCATTTATTTACTGGAATGTATCTATTTGACATGACAGGCCTTTGTTTCCACCTGTATTTGAAAGACAGTGGCTATTCAATAAAGTCAATGCATTTAATCGTTAAGTAATTTATCTCTGGTTCTTTATGATATTCAAATTGCTTTGTCTTTTTTTGTATCCAGTGCTCCTGCAGTATTTACCTGATAAAGAAAGCTCCGACTGTCTTTATCTGTATTCATAGATTCCTCACCGCCACCCATTTGGAACCAATAGACGCCAGGAAAGTGTTTCCTTGTTTCGACGAGCCAGAAATGAAGGCAGAGTTTGTCGTAACAATCATCCACAGGAGAGACACGATAGCTCTAGGGAATGCGGATATTAGAGGTGAAATACGTACATTATACTGTAGCTCATGTCTCTTAAAAATGTCCCCTCAGGCAGTGTAACTGTAATCACAGAATAAAAGATGTCCTTCCTTATACTGATCTGTCTCGTCTCCCGCTCTCTCAGAATCCAATATTATCAACGACGACTGGAAAATCACTTTCTTTCATCCAACGCCGAAGATGTCAACGTACTTGTTTGCCTTCACGGTTTCAGAGTTCACGTCAACCAACTCCCCAACAGATGAGCGTGTAAATATTAAAGTATGTGTACTGTAGTTTTAAAATGATTCATGTAATTGCTTTTGGTATGGTGTTGAACTTGACTGGTATCACGAGAGACTTTGAATTTTCTTCAACAAACATTTAGATATTTGATCAAAAGTTACTCCTTCCAGTGGTTTTGGTAAAACATCTCTCAGCATCAACCAAAAATGTATTTTCATGTTTAATTGTTGGTTCTTTTTTTCTTTATTTTTTTTACGCATTTTAACCTTCTAAACGTCACCACCACAGATTTTTAATTGCGCTTAAATCAAGAAAATGTACAAGTACAAAACAGAAACATGTAGGAGAAGATCCTCTGTGCTTTATCTCACTGTTGTGTTTTGCCCATACAGACGTATGCACGTCCTGATGCCACTGCAGCAGGTCACACTCAGTATGCCGCCAACATCACCGGAAAGATTCTCAAGTTCTACGAGAGCCATTATGGAATTGATTATGAACAGAAAAAGCTAAGTAAGGCTTTGTCTAGATCTAATTTGGATGGATGTGTTGGTAGATGGTAAGTTAGCAAGAACATGTATACTATATCCCAATACTATATAATTTTTATAATATATATATATATTAGTGCTGGGCAAGTTAACGCGTTAATTTCGTGTTAACGCATTCATTAATTAACGCCGACAATTATTTTATCGCGCGTTAACGCATTTTAAAAATTTATTATTATTATTATTTTTTTTTTTTTTAATTGAAAGACAAGAGACAATACATAGACATAACAACAAGAGGATGACAATAACAGTGGGATAAAAGCCAGCAAACATCCTATAGTCAGTTGTGTGTGTGTGTGTGTGTGTGTGTATGTGTGTGTGTGTGTGTGTGTGTGTGTGTGTGTGTGTGTGTGTGTGTGTGAGAATGTGTGTGTGTATGTCCTTGAGCCTTTTGAGATGGGAAAAAAAAAATAATAATAATAATAAAACAACAAAAAAACAAAAAAAAAACAGGTAAGTATTTTTAATTTGTTATTATTGTAACAGACTGTCTCATGTTTATCGTTTTGTATTGGAGATATGATGTCCCTTCAGGGTTGCCGTAGAGAAAAGGCGACTTCCGCTTCTGGTCGAGTGGGGGGGGCAGAAATAAAGAGAGAAGCTCCAGCTGTTGCTCTCCCTGGAGACTACTGGACATCGCTGCGGTAAAGTCAGCAGACACTCAGATCTCCGTGGTCAACTCAGCAGACACTTACATTTTAGTGCACCTATATGCTGAAATTCACGGTAAACGCATTTAAACGGCACAGATCGGGAGCGAGCGAAGGACTTTGAAAGTTAGCGGAAACATTAACGTGAGACAACATCCGGTTTCTTCAGACGAACATCCGGCTTTCAGAATAAGATGCCAACAAAGTATGAATTATATTCACATTAAATATAAAACATGCTACCTGCATCTCGTGAACCAAATGTTATTGCCCTTTTGTTCATATAGCAGTACTTTTAAAATAAAAGTGCGCAATACACTACTTTTGAATTCATTATTGAACTTTGCCATAACAATGCGATTAATCGCGATTAATTGCAAAAAATCCATGCGATTAATCGCGATTAAATATTTTAATCATTGCCCAGCATTAATGTGTGTATATATATATATATATATATATGAGTACTACTGTGCAGAAAAAGGACTTGGTTGTGTTTATGCAGCAAAAGGACTTCCACAACAAAATAGGTTTCCCTCGACACGTAATTCACAATGCAGTTTCGTTGTGTGGGAACATCATTTTTAGGAGACAGGGCTGCTTCATTATATCAGCCTCTGCCGATATGATTAGTTCTACCTGCAGAGCAGCTCTGCTATTCTGAGGAAAGTCAGCTTGATACTTTTAGGTAGTGTAACAAACTATGTGCATATATCATTTGATCATTTGTCCATATCTGTATGATTCCTCCAGCTCAAATTGCAATGCCAGACTTAGCTGCTGAAGCGATGGAAAACTGGGGACTGATCACATACCAGGAGGGAAGCTTGCTCTACGAGGAGGGAGTGTCCTCACTGTTGCACAAGGAAGTGATCGCCTCTCTCATTGCACATGAACTGGCACACCAGGTCAGAGGGAAAAAAAACCTTAATGTTTGTTACCCTAATAAAAACAACAAAATATGACATGTACTACTGGATCAAGGCCTGTTCTCACTATTTCTAAGTATTATTTGATAAGAACACTCACTAAATGATGATAACATAAATCTTATAACATCCTGCAACATTTTAGTGTTACATGCATGGGTGGGTTATGAGACAATGAGTCCCTGATCACAGACATGCAAAGGGCCCCACCACCTCTCCTGCAGCAAGACACACAGACTTTATAGTTGTTAAGCCTCTTTTTGTTGTTGTTTTGTGTCACTCTGTAATTATTTTGGTATTTTTGTGGTTATTTTTTGTCAGTGGCTGTTTTGTCCTCTTTTCATCTTCTCATCATCCCTTTTTAGTTGTTTTGCTCCTTTTCATAGTCGTTGTGAGTCTCTACGTCTTTTTGCTGCTATTTGCATGTTTTTGTAGTTGTTTTGGTCTCTTTGTAGTCAATTTATGTTTCTTTGTGGTCATTTTTGAGTGTCTTCCTGGTTGGTACGTGTCTCTTTGAGTGACTATTTGTAAGTGAAGGTGACACTGCCCAGTAAAGTCATATTTTGTTGTCTAGTGAATCCTTGCAGGGTTATATGTTACCTCAACTATCCACATCTTCTGTTCTTGTTGACAGTGGTTTGGGAATCTGGTGACAATGAAATGGTGGAACGAAGTTTGGCTAAATGAGGGCTTTGCCACGTATGCATCATTCTTTGCAGTGGACCATGTGGAGCCTACATTCCAATTAGTAAGTTCAGTCCAAGCTTTCACTGCAGAATGAGGTCTGTTTTATTTTTATTTTCTGTTGCAAAGCTTTTTAATTTGCATGATCATTGAAAAATACACATGAAAAGGAAGCTTGAAGTAAGATGAACGCATCTTCATGCAGTCATGCAATATGGGCTCTTGGCTCTTTTTGTTTCACTCAGAAAGACGCACATATCATGAGCAACCTCCATGCTGCGTTTGAGCAGGACGCTCTGGCCTCGTCCCACCCTCTCAGTCCTCCGCAGGAAGACGTCCAGATGATTTTTGAGATTTATGAGATGTTTGATGCCATAACCTACTGTAAGGTAGAGTCAAATGAAACTATCAATGAATACATATATGATGTGGGTGTTTTATTTGCAGTCACTCATACCAGTGTACTATAAATATGAACCTATAACATGTATGTATTTGGTGTTCACTCTGCAGGGGGCGGCTGTGCTGAGAATGCTGGCAGACATCGTGACAGAAAGAGTTTTCACCAAAGGAATTAAAGTAAGTAACTAGTTGTCTTCCTCTGAGAAGATGCGCCCTCTTAAAAACTCTGTGGTTCACCATGCGACGTGACTCACCACATGGGTAGGAAAGCAAAATGCCATATCAAAATTCTCTAATTCAATGCCTTAATTGGCGGTCTGAAAACGGCTGCTTCAAACTCATAATCACTAAATCACAAAAACCCCTTATATAATATTGTGTAGGCATGGTTCACCTTCTTCAACACACATTTACTGAATGCAACACAGAGAAAAGCAAACAACAAAGGACTTCACTTTTACTTTTGGAGACTCTGCTCATGCTTTAAAAAGCTGTCAGTGCTGCATGGATTTTTTTTTATTGAGATGGATGAGTCGTGCTAGACATTGGCACACACAGTCTTCTGTAGCCACACTTCTTCCGAACATATGGTATTATGATTCTTTCGTGAGCCACAGAAAGTGTATTGATTGTTTCTGAGAAAGGGGAGTTTTGTGCGTGGATAAAGCATCCGTTCTTTGGGTTGTGTTTTCCCCCTGGAAAGAACACGGTGCAATAATTGATGTATTTGTGTTTGTTTTCTTATATCTTACAAAACAGAAAGAGCTATTGTTACTGTTGTCTTATATCTTGCGATCAGAGAGCGATATGACACGATCAGAAAGCGATATGAATACATGAATATGAGATATGAGTTTACAGATAATTACTATCCCTCTTCGACAATGTGGAGGTTGGTTTATGGCTTTTTGCTGATTACACTTCTTGCTTTTTCACAGTACATTTTGTTTGTACGCCGTCTGGTGTTTCAGAGAACAATTCGACAAACACCGGTCAGAGCATAAACGTCTTTGCATACTAGGAGGTTGCGCGGTGCCACACCCGATTATAAACAAAGCTTGAGAATCCAAACTGTGTGACGTCTTCTGTCTGTCTGTCTGTCTGTCTGTTCATTTAAAGAACACGTTTTGTGAAAATATATATATATATATATACAATTCAGGCTTTTATTCATAAAAGTATCACATCAGACTCCAAAAGTTACCCGGGCCACGGCACCCTAGATTCCCTGCTTCTGTCATCTATGCTAGCGCTAGCATGTTGCTCGTTTGTTAGTGGTTTTGCCATTAGCTTGCCAGCTACAGTAGTTTATTAACGAGCCTTGTACCATTAAGCTTCCAGCACATCCTGTGTCGGAAAGACAAGCGGATGAGTTTGGCTGTGTGTGGTTATGGTTTTTTTGTGTGTGGTGGCCGGGCCTTTAAGGAGTGTTCAGACTGGACTGAATTTGTGTCTATTCATTTACACAAAGATACATTCTATCCAGCTGGTAATCCAACACAAGCTCTCTTTCTATTTGGAGTGGTCATGTTGTTATTGTTGTTGTTGTTGTTATTGTTACATCCATCCAGAGAAAACAGGTTCACGATCCACAATTTAGTCCACTTGTAGTTTCCACCGTTTCAAGCAAAGGTAGCAGGCACATGCAGGACCGAGGAATGCTCCCCAGCAGATCTGGTCCATCAGCTGTTTCAGAAAATGAAAGAAAACCTGTTTTCAGCTAAACATTTGTTTCAACATAACATCTGCCGGAAGTTGTGTTTGGACTTTCCTCCAGCTCCCAACATCAATATTCTGAATGCAAACTTTCCTCCTGAAAATAATGACTTTGAACACAGGATGAAACTGTTAACTATAACCTCTCTCTGGATCTCTCTGTTTTTGTGTTACAGATGTACCTCTCGGACTTTAGCTATAAAAACACAGACCAGAACGACCTCTGGGAGTGTATTCAAAAGGTAAAGTGTACGATCGATTTTTACAAGCCAAATTTTTGTTGCTGATTGTAAGCATGATTTGTATGACAATGTCCATGTTGTTTATGGCATTTATGTCATGAAATATGAACTGATTTGTGCCATGTTTGCAGGCCGAGGTTGAGGACGGTGGTCACACCAACGTTGCCAAGGTGATGAACACCTGGACCAAACAAATTGGCTATCCTGTTATCACCATCAACACTACCAATGGAGAAGTCTACCAGAAGCACTTCCTGTTCAATCAATCTTTAGAATCTAGGTAGGTGCTACATGGACATTGTTCCAGTGTACACGGTAAGAGTCTCAGCTATTTGATTACACTCATTTACATTCCAGATAACATATGGATGAACACTGTCTTTACTTTATCTGGGAATCTGTTATAAAGTGTAAATCAGTACGTCTCCATCTCCACATCTCCATTTAGCATTAATGAAAACAATGGAAGAAATCAATACATCAATGGAAAGGAAGAATATTATGGTTGGGGCATTTATTGATTCGTAAAAGAGCTTTATTATTGTGCATTGTCCCTTATCAAATAAACCGATAAATCAATAAAAAATAGAATCGGCTCTGAAGTTTCCCTTCTAACACAGGTAGTACACATCAGAATGTGTCTTACACATCCGTGTAAGACACATTCTGATGTGTACTACCTGTGTCTTACACATCCGTGTAAGACACATTCTCACCTATGGAAAATACTCAGTTTGGTTTGGGCGAGGGGTGGCCCCTGGGTAGAGCAAGCAAGAGGCAGGAAATGACACAAAAACGCCGCTGCCACGTAGCCGGTTTGTAATTTGGTCATAAAAACCAAGACTCTTTCCATTCCTTAAATTTCTTCCTTAATTCCTTAAACTATGCAGTTAGATATTTTTATTGGCTTCTTTGTGTTGTTGTAGTGGTGGTGGCGTTAAGTCATGTGACAGTGTTGTAGTTAGTTTATAGCCTAACGTTCACTATTTACTTCTGGCAATTGCATTTACGCTTCATTTGTGAAGATTATCTCGCTGAACAAAACGTGCAAGTATCATGAATGTTTGTTTGCCAAGGAGCTTATTTTGTGCAATAATCCCAAATTCAATGGAAGAATCCCATTGGTTTGTTGTCAAGGGAACAATTGCGATGCTAATTTCTGGGTTTGCCCACAAAAATACGTCATCCCTGCAGCACTCTATTCGTCAGAATGGGGCCCAACCGGGCAAGCGCCCCTCCTGATCCCTCCGGACTATCCATTCTTGCATCAATACTTCTTCTTTACCCTCGGATGTTTTCCTCCGGTTTTACACCAGTCGCATGAAATGTCACCAACATGCCCACTCACTCACTTGTGGAGTCCCACAAGGGTTAGTAATGGGCCCTATACTTTTCATTTATATATAAAGCTGCACTAATCAATATTTTTTTAAATAAACAATGGATCAAATGACTATGTTTAATGTGAAAGATGTCACTCATATTTGTGAACCTATAGTGAATTATCACCCTACTCCGGGTGCAGTTTGCTTCAGCTCTACAGAGCTTTTTGGTGTCTTTCATTTCATTGTTTTTCAAGTGGCCCCAAAAAAAATCTATTAATGTAGGTTTAACAATACTGTTGTATTGTAATGTAATAAACATCGAACAAAAACTTCGGAAATTAGTGTTTGGTAGATTATTTCTCTGGTGTAACAATTCTTCTTGGCAATAAATGTTATACCGTTGGAAAGCCTGTTTATTGTTTCAAACGGTGCCCCAATTGTAAGGAACATGCATTTGTGGGATGAGCAGCACAGCTGAGTATGTGGGTTGAGCAGCACAGCTGAGTATGTGGGTTGTGCCCATGAAAAATTTGCCAAATCTTCTCTGCCAATGCCAAACAGCTTATTCTGCTGTTGCCATCGACTCTTGTTTGGTGTTGTTTGGTGGATTGGATGATTGAAGTCTATCAGTAACAAGGAAGAAACAAGACATATTGGCAATTTTACAATTTATTCATTTAACAAACAGGAGCCTCAGTAGCATGTGGAAGAACCATACACAGCCACAACAGCCTGGCACCTCCTCCTCATGCTGGTCAGCAGCCTGGTCACACACTGCTGTGGGATGGCATTCCACTCCTCAAGCAGGATTAGTCGCAAGTCAGCCAACGTGGTTGTGTTGGTCACTCTAGCACGAACAGCTGGTCCCACAAGTGTTCAATTGGGTTGAGGTGAGGACCATTCCATCCTCTCTACTCCCAAATTCTGGAGGTAGTCTCTGATAAACCCCGCTCTGTGGGGGCGAAGGTCTTCATCTTAGAGGATGGAGTTCGGTCCCAGACTGTGGAGAAATGGGATTGCCACTGGTTGCAGAATCTCATCTCGATATCTCTGCATTGAGATTGCCTCCAATGAAGACAAGCCTCATTTTTCCAGTGATGGAGATGCCGCCCCACACCATCACACTGCCTCCACCAAAAGGTGTTACTCTATCAGTGCAGCGATCAGCATAGCGCTCTCCCCGTCTTCTCCACACTTTGACCCTACGATCCAACTTCCTTAGGCAGAATCTGGACTCATCGCTGAACATAACGTTCCTCCACATGTTCAGGCAGAGAAGATTTGGCAAAATATTCATGGCCGCAACCCACATACTCAGCTGTGCTGCTCATCCCAGAAATGCATGATCCTTACAAATGGGGCACCATTTAAAAGGTAAATAAACAGGCTTTCCAACGGTATACAATTTATTGCCAAGAAGCATTGTTACAACAGAGAAATAATCTACCAAACACTAATTTCCAAACTTTTTGTTCGATGTTTATATTCATATTATTGATTACACAGCTCAAAACTTGTTTGTGGTCACCAAGAGACACCAGGATGAAGGATACTGTCAAAGTTCACCTTCCATTTGCAGATAGTTTAGATGGCGTTGGCCTGTATTCGTGATTTGTGAGCTAATGCAGTAATGCAGTATAGCAGGAAACTTGTCCAAAACTGGTTCCAAAATAATGACTCCCTCTTTCGGTATTAATGTGAATTTAACATCTTGAGTGTGAGTGCCTCTCAGTTGGTCTTGGCTTAAAGAAGATGACATTCACTATCTTTCCGAAGGCCAAAGTTGGATCATAAATCTGTCCTCTAGTGACTTTATCACTTCACAATGTAGAACTCCCTCTGAGAATAGTTGTCATCAAATACTGAAAGAGTCAGGTTCCTGTGTGTGTGTTGGCAAAATATGGTACGTTATTGCATCAATGGCACCTTATTCACCAAGTATTTCTCTGCCAGGGCCTGCATGAAATCACTGCAGCTGATTACAGTAAATTATGCCTCTGGCCATGTGGAGTCTTTTGAAACAATGTGTTGTAACTATGCGCTCCACAACACTGCAATGGTGAGTTGCACCATAATTTAACCTGACGCAGCTGCTCTGGCCAGACCCAGAACATAACAGCTCAGGACACTGGCATAATGGCGTTGTAGATATCTGCTTATCATACTGGAGATTCAATTTCATGCTCCATTTAGAGATCATCGTGTCACCTTTTCCAAAAAATGCTTCTTTTTATATCGTTATTTGGACTCTTCGTTGCTCAATGTTTAAAAGCTGAATACTCATTTCCTGGAAAATAAGCTTCTGGTACTCATTTTACCTTGTTTTTTTCTATTGTTTTCTGCCTGTTTAGTCTTTGGTGGTACGTCCCAATCAGAGTCATGTCAAATACACCCAAATCTTCTCCTGTCTGGTTGGATTCCAGTGATACAGGTAAGTGAATGCACCACAGAGAAACTTGGAATAAAAACCTTGTTTCTCTTAGAACCCAATTTTTAACAGCTTTGTTTTGACAAACAGAGGACTAGATAGAAAAACTTTGAACATCTTAACGAAGCTATGTGATGGTCTTGGATTAGATACAAGTCAGACAGAACAGAGAACAGATCACCATAGACACAAGATGACCTTCCCTGTTTTGTTTTTTATTTGTATTTATACTGGGCCATTGTGAGGGCGACTGTGGTTCAGTGGTAGAGCGGCTCGTCCTTTCGACACTTAACCCCGAATTGCTCCCGTAGGCTGTTCCTGCCGTGTATGAATGGGTATGAATGGGTGAATAAGCACTTTGAGTGATCGGAGTACAAGTCCATTTACCATTTATGATATTTGCCTTTATTTTCAGTAAAGAAAGATGAATTCATCTCTAAGAGTGGAGAGTGGATCCTGGCAAACGTCAACTGTGCTGGATACTACAGAGTCAATTACAACCCAGAGAACTGGGAACGCCTCCTGACTCAGATGGAGACAAACCCACATGTGAGCACTGAGCCAAAAAAAATGAGTGAGCAAATCACAGAGTTGAGCAGAAACAAGCCTCCTTTTACTAGACAACTGGTTTCCCCTGAAAGCTTCACCCTGAAGTTCTTGAAGATTGGCAGATTAAATTAAATCTTGGCTCATTTATCCCAATCTAGACTGTCAACTGGTTGTTAATATAGTCTTTCGCAAGATAAATGTTAACCTCAATTTCTTGAACTTGAATCTATTACACAATGGGTGTACTGGGGATGGATACTTATATTAACCATGTCATCAGCATCTGTTTAGTGAAAATATGATATGTCCAGGGATGATAATGTTGTTGAACTGGTTGGTCCAGACTACTACCAACTGTTAGATGGATTGCCATGAAATTTTGTACAGACATTCATAGTTCCCAGAGGATAGATTCCAATGACTTTCTTGATCCCCTCACTTTTCATCTAGTGCAACCAGCACCTCAAAAGTAATTCATATATACAGTATTTACTCAAGTTATTACAATTCACATAGGGAACAAGAATGTCAGTACCAAATTTCACAGAAAAACCCTCCGGTCGTTGGAGTCAAAACAAGTCTTTAGGACTCATCTGCTGGGGACCATAAATGTCAAACAACAAATAGTTTTGTGGCCATCCATAAATTCAATGTTGAGATATTTCTCTGGATAAGTAAAAACTTTGACCTGCTGGTGGTTCTAGATGGAAAGTTCGGTGATCAATACAGTCACTATGAAGCATCCCAGGAACATGAATATCAACAAAATGTCATGGCAAGCCATCAAAGAGTCTGGATCAAACCGACCAGCAGTCATTGTCATCACCTTGAGCCATTGTGTTGGCACAACTACAAAAAAAACCACTTGGATTATATTGTAGCTTCAGACAGACCTCTTAGAAACCACTAATATGGGAACATAGCTTAAACTGTAAGAAATGATCATACTGTTGGGGCTATATTTGACTTTGAAAACGTTAACATTCAATGTAATAAACAGAGAATTCTTTGGTTCCTATTCTTATTTGGCATTTTTACTATGCTTTAACAAGTTATATTATCCTACTCTTATGCTGCTGTTGGTAGAATGACTGAGTACAGTTGTAGATGTCTTTGTAAACTGAAATGTCAACTGTCCCTCATCTTACACTCTTTTTTTTAGCAAATCCCACTGATGAACAGAGGGCAGCTTGTTGATGATGCATTTAACTTTGCAAGGTAATGACTTCTATTCAGTTGACTGCTACAAGTCAATGTTCTGTGGGTTAAGTGTGTTGTGAAAAAACATGGCTGAAAAGAGGTCATGCCAGGGGCTCCTTTGCCTCTTTGATCTTACCAAATTGAATCTGTTTTCCTCAGGGCCAAACTCGTCGAAGTGACCCTGGCCCTGAATTCAACGCGCTTCCTTCGGAATGAGAAAGAGTTTATTCCCTGGGAGTCAACAGTCAGGAACCTTGAGTACTTTGTCCTCATGTTTGACCGCTCCGAGGTGTACGGACCCATGCAGGCATGTGCCATTAAAACCTCCTTTTTAAACTCGTGGTATTCAAAATGAAAAATGTATCTTGCTTTGCTACTAACTAAATTGACCTGTACTGGATGGAGAGACTGGATTTAACAAACTTAATGTGATGGCCTGCTGCCATTGTGGTTGTTCATCCCTCATCAATAAACAGATGTGCAGTAAAAAGAGTAATGTATTGCTGCGTGTGTTCCTGTAACTCTGTTCTAAAGCTGTCTCTTCCTGCAGGCGTACCTCTGCGAACAGGTTAAGGGCCTGTATAACTTCTTGAGGAACGACACAGACAATTCCCAAGTCCCAAAGAATCACTCCTTACAGTAAGAAAAGATGCCCTCTGTTAATCTTAAACAGGTTTACACCTGTTTGCAGTTTACAGTTCAACAAAGTCTCAGTCCAGTACTAAAAGTGTGAGTTTGCATTGTTAACTTACATCATCAGTTATACACACGCTAGTCACGACTTTTTGCTAACGGCTGAATGGGCGTCCATCTCATCTGAAATGATGAGATGGAGTCCATCCATGATTGCTCTTCCCCAAATGATGCTGTATTTCATTCTTGACATGGGAGACAGTAGTTTGACAAAATATATATCAAGACAAGGTTTTTTTATAAAGCGTTGAATGGCATTTCTGTTTCCTTCAAAACACATTACATTATTATATTTGCCATAATTTGATACGTATACACTTATTATATAAAATTGAATTGTGCTTTCTTCCAAGGTACAGCCAGATCACCGCCATAGAGGTGGCGTGTTCCAATGGACTCCCAGAATGCTTAGTGATGGCTACGAAGATGTTTGCGAACTGGATGAACACCAACAGCACTAACAAGTACGGACACTACTGAATAAGTATTTTTTATTTGGAATTTGAAAATTACATTCTACTTCATACCTTCGGAATAAAATGGTCTCACTGTAATAGCTTTCATTATGTTCTGTGGCTTTACTCTCCAGCAATGATTTAGTGAAGGTAGGTGTCATTTAATCCCTTTCTTGTGTTGATTCTCGGTGGCTGTTGTTACCCCTCTGCATTGTGGTTCTTATCTTTAAAGCTGCACTTGACAGGGTGTTAACACGAACATGCACTCTATTTCCCAAACTGACCATGCAACACATGATCCTATTCCTACTAAATGAGGAAGTAAAACAAAACCTCCCTCCCTCTACACATACTTTCTAGCCTTTTGTAATACATGTGCAACTTTAAAGTAGAGAGACATCCGACCTCATGCGACCTCATGCAAGAACATTTTAGTATTATTATTTTAACTTTCTCTTCCTTTGCTTTCGTACAATGGGCTCATTACGAGTGAGCCCCGTCACATTCAGCAAACGCTACTAACTGTAAATGACCAGTGTAAACATGATGAATACACCCGTGCATAAATGAGCGTGCATTCGTGAGAAATGTAAATTAGCATGATTAACGCCCCAATAATACTGTAAAAGGCTATGCGTCCTGCCCCATATGCCCTCCATATGTCCTCTATTGAAGAATGACAAACTTTGCTTTATGTATGTCTGAAAGCATTCAGACATCCATAAAGCAAAGTTTGTCATTTTTAAGTCAGCAGCAGAATTAAGAGACCTGCAGAAGACGAGGAACAGGGACAAATGACGAGTGCTGTTAATGCCGAGTCATCTGAAGGTTTACTGCCACTGAAATAAAGAAGAAATGGTTCCATATGAAAAACATCGCCACAGCAAGGCCCTCGATGACTGCAATGGAACAAATCATTCAAGATGTTCGTATTGATATTGTAGTGTTATACAATATACGTATCAATAGCTAATTTAAATTAATGGTGATATTGTTAGGCTATAAGAACAAATTGTGTTATTTATATAGGGTTTTCAAACTCAAAATTTCTTCAAAGTAATGAAATATAAAATCCACTCATGAAAACAGCAGACTAATGTCACAGCCTACAAGAGGTCTGGACCAATCGTAAACTGTGTTCATACCAAAGAGAATATTCAAAATGCGAGACAATTGTTAAAACGTTCTCCTGAATCACGATACAGGCCACTTAAGAACCAATCTGTTCATAGTATTGCTTCTTGCATGAGACCCATTGAATCTTCATTAAACGTGTATACTGTGTGCGCTCCCTACATGCACACATACATGTATGGAAGTGTGTTAACACATTGGCACCTGCCCGAGGAGACGAAATGAGACGGTCCTCTGATTTAGGAAAAAATAACCGTGCGTGTGTGTGTGTGATTCAGAATCCACCCCAATCTGCGCTCCGTGATCTACTGCCAAGCTGTGGCCGCTGGCGGGAGGGAAGAGTGGGAGTTTGCCTGGAACAAGTTTCAGAACTCCAGTGACACCTCAGAGAAGGACCAGCTCCGGCAGGCTCTGTCTTGCACCAAGAAGATCTGGCTGCTCAACAGGTGAAACGTCAAGCCCCTGATGTGTCACATGCAGGATTGTGTTACTGTTATTTTGACCGTGTGCATAATAAGTGCTGTCTGTATGGACACACCTGTGATAAGGTGAATCCCAGCCACACTGTTTTTATGAAGTGAAGATTCTTCCTTATCCTGTAGATACCTGGAATACACTTTGAACCCTGAGAAGATTCGTCTGATGGATGTTGCTTCCACTATTAACTACATAGCTAAGAACGTGGCGGGGCAGGCGCTGGCCTGGAACTTTATCAGAGCACACTGGGAGTACGTCTCGCAGGGGTAGGTTGCTATTTGGACTCTATCACCTGCCTCTTATCACTCTCATTTTAGCTCTCTACTAACTACTGAGAAAAATATGTGGCTCTTTTGTGGCTAAATGCTCCACTGTGTTCACCAGCGAGTGCTGACGCTGTCTGTTTGCTGTTTGGTGCTAAGCAGGTTGTGTATAGTGGGTACAGTTTGTCCCAAACAATGAGCTAAACAAGGTTAAAAGACTCTATAAAGAAGAGGAGAACTTAAAAGTTGTGATAATATTCTGTGGGTCAGTAATTTGTCCATCTCAGCAAAGAGATATCTGCCAGTGAATGCAGAATCTGTAGACGGATTGTAGTACGAGTAGTTTACATCATGATCTGAACCGATGTCCAGTCAAGTCACTTGAAAAACAGATACTGCCATAAAAGTTCAGACTATAATAAACAGGGACTATAATAATCATCGAGTACAAAGGTCTTGTTATTCAATCAGTGCTTATCATTAACCTCTTTCATAAAGTCCCCGCTGATTGTGATGTTACCAGGAAGCTAACGTGATGTGTATCAAATTTTAAACACACATAGCAGACCAGGTTTAATTTCATAAGCACACAGGGACACAGGAGATTGATTTAAATCAAGTAATCAGCAGGCAAGTAAAATTCTCTTTTAATAAATAGGCATTTGGACATCAGTATGAATCATTTCCTCAAATTTCTTTCAGAATATAATCCAGTTTATACTTGTTTAGTGCATTATATACACCTAGCTAAAATGAATGCAGTCTAATAAAGTCTGCCTTCATAAAGGCTGTGATGTTTAGCTTGTGTTGAAACTGTTTAAGAGACGTGTTGACTCAACTTTTGTGGTCTTCTTAGAGTCTTGGTTTCGTTGTGTTGTTGAACTGCACTACACTAAAAACTGTCTCTTATATTGTGTCCACCCTGCCTGTCTCCAGTAACGCAGTTATGCTGATTGAGGGTGTGACCAGAAGGTTCTCCACCCAATTTGAACTGGACGAGGTAATGTTTATGGATGTTTTTATTATGTCAAAATGATAATAGGACCATGCAGTGACGTCAAGGGGAGACTCTGCTTTCCAGTCACGCACCAATAATTTATTATAACCAATGAGTGAGTTGATAAGCCCTGATCTTATCAGAAGTCTCTCTGTCATCGTGAGTTATATGGGTGACAGCATGTTAGTTTTACCTCTGAGACAAACCCCAAACTTCTCACACTTACGCCATTTCTAATCTATAGTTTAAAGGGACTATATTAATCGGCAGATTAATTCACATTTGGTTCTCGAGGATATAGACTGCAAATTGGATTTCAAAGCTGTAAAGGGTCCTATTGCATTATATATTTGATTTATGTTTGTATTTTGAAAAGCATTAACATAGCAATCTGTTCTCACATGGCATATATGCACTTACCATTCACAATTCTTGTCAGTTTTGATAGTGACTAGATTGAAAAAAAGCAGATTTCTCAAATGAAAATTGTCGCTGGCTGGTTTAATCAGCTTTAGCTAGCTAGCTAATTAAGATAACATTAATTCTGGCTCGCTGTCGTGCTAAAAGACTGAGGCTAAAACTACATGTCCCAATCATAGGCTGAATTATAAAGATGGATGAATGGAAGCCAAAACATCTTGGTTGCCCCTGGTGCTTGGCGGAAATATAGCTCATAAGTCCCGCCCCCATCCACGTTAGCGACTGGGACATGGGCCAAACTAAATAGCTAATGTGCACGTCAAATACATTTTTCTCATAGATGGTTTCTGTCATTTCAGGTATTTCTTATCTTATCTGATGTTTGTTCAAGTTTTAATTAGTTATTAGATGCTAGAAAGAAGAAGAAGAGGCTGTGACATCATGATTGACAGCTGCTCTGACTGAAATAGCTAGTTACGGAGCCCGAGGCTTTGACATTGTACGAGAAAGGAGATGTAACTTTCACTTTCCATACCCGTCAAGGGTTATTATGGTTAGCTGTAGTGTCTTTCTAGCTAAACACTGTGGTGCTAACATAGCAGCTAGGTGGCTCACGCCAACAAGCTGGGCTAGGGTTTGGGTGATAACACGCCTCGATTCACAAGCAAACATTCACAAAATAATGAAGTATGAAATGCTAAATGCCGTGCCTAGATA